AGAAAGACTGCTATTAATGACCAATGACAATGGGTGGAGAAGGACTGCAGAGGTGGGATTTTCATTCATTCCACTGTCCATTGTCCATCTAAAGAGCCTATTCAGACCAGGGGGAAGTGAAACCAATGTGGAGGAGGATATATCAGGAGTCTCCTAGCTGTCCTCAAACTGAAGAAGCTACTTGCGAAACATTTCAACCTAGTAAGAAACAAGTCCAGTTGTCATGACTCAACTTCCAAATTCTCTTATCTCTGTTTCAAATGTAAAAAACAAACAAACAAGCAAAAAAGGAATTTGATTTTAAAAATGATTTTCTCCTGCTGGGTCTAGACTTCATTCACAGCCACTAGAGATATTTCAGGCTCCACGGTAACTAAACATAATGGCCTGCCAATGTCTAATTAGCAGGACATGATCATTAGTATAAGGGAACTACTATGATCCCATTTTAAGTGCAGGCCTGTCTTGCTCCACAGCTTATGACACCAAGATAGCCATTTCCTTGTTAGTAGGCAGAGGGAGGATGACGCAGCCCCAGTCCTTTGCTTCCCCTCTGCTCTTACCAGCTAGCACACTGTCCGTCTTGGGCTTTGCACATCATAAATGGACAAACTGTTAGAAAAATTATCTGAAGTGAGGTTGGTGGTGGTGGTGATGGAAGGAGCCATGGAGGGACCTATGATTGATTGATTGATTCTGATTGATGCAGATGAGCTTTGACAGGCTTTTAGCCATGGTAAGAGGGCAAGGAGATCTGGCCAACCTAAACATCCTTCCATCAACCTCTCCCAGAGGAGGGACAAACTGGTAATTGATCCCACTGGGCTGCACTTACCATGTCTAAAGACATATATGTTTCCTGAATGGCAAAGTCAAGTCTATTTAGCAATTGGTTTTGCAAGTATCAATCATCATCTGCTTTTCACTTACAGTAGTTTGGAAGTGTTACCTTTCTTTGAATTGCAACATGCCCCTTTCCCCAGCCAGTGTGGCCAGCAGGTTTTCCAGGCTTAATCTGGCCACCCCAGTTTGTCTGACAGCTAGAACAGTACCTCTGCTTTGAACAAAATAGCATGAATGATGATTACCCTCATATGGGGAAGAACATCAAGTATTGGAGCAGGGGCAACACAGAACTCAAAAGTCATTTTGTAAACCATGAGCCAGTAAAACAAATTTGCCACTGAGAGTGCAGAGTGTCACAGCCAACCCTGACACCCAAGGGCATGCACCTGCACAAGGCCTGTCATATTCACACTGTATGTTCACAGCTGTGCACTCCAAACAACTTAAAGGCACCTCTGAATAATACATGGTGTCCAGCCTTCCTAAGCAGTGAGCAAATGGTGGTTTACTAGTACTGATTTATGGTACTGTATTCTTAAGGTGGTGCCTGACAGGAGGAACAGAAGCTGTTTTGTTTCCAAGCACTTAGCATAGCAAGACTCTTCCCCCACCCAAAGAACCCTGAACTTCATTGAAATAATCCTAGAACTGCAGAGCTGGAAAGCCCCTATCAGGGAGGCACAGTGGGGAATTGAACACCCAACTGTATCTACACCACTGAGCTATCCAGTAATTCTTAGCATGAACATCCTTCAAGACCGAAGGTTTTAAAACAATTATTCAACTGCAGCCATCTGGCCCAGAAATAATAATAGTGATGAAACCAGTCTGCTGGGAAATGTATCTATGAAAGCTCCACTGAACAAAATGACCAAGCTTCTGCACTTCTCTTGGTGAGTGAAGGTCACTCAAGCTAATGTTCTGGTGGATTGTGCCCTACACAAATACTCCTCTGTCAGGCAGAGAATCTGCTTTCTTTATTTGCGTATAGTTCATTTTTTTTGCTCTGAAAGGTTCTCAAAGCAGCTTACAGAAGATTTGCAAAATGAAATTGTACACAAATGTATTATAGAATCGGGAATCAGCTGACTCTTCTATCAGTTATTTGCACAAAGATGGAAAGTGAATATGAAAGCTGATGGGGCCTAATTTGTTACACTGCTCATGCCTGTTTCTCAAGAGTTGAGCTGTAATCTCTACAGCAGACAATTTGTGGAGCTGAATTTCAAAGACAGATTCTAGTGTGAAACAGCTGATCCAGAATGATTCAAGAGGTTCACTTTCCGATCCTTACACAGGGTCAAGGATTTTATTCAGAAGTTGGGAAAAGTATTCTTTTGGGTTACAACTCCCAAAATCCCTTAGCTACTATGGCAAACTATATTGGCTAGAGGATTCTGGGAACTGTACTCTAAAACAGTAACTTTCCAAAGCATTGTTTGTATTACATCATTCTATTTAATACGATCAATGGAAGGATGACAGTGCTACTTCTCCCTGAAATGTTGTTTGTTAATAGCCTTTGATAATCAGCAGGCTGGATAGCTTGTGAGTTGTTGTGGACCTAGAGAGTAGAAGTTCAATTTCCCACTGTGCTTCCCAGAAGAACCAGCCTGTGTAGCCTTGGGCAAACTGCACAGTCCTAGGATGCCCCCAGAAAAAGGAAATGGTAGACCCCTTCTGAGTACGTACTGTACTCTTTACCCAGAAAATCTTGAAAAGGGTCAACATGTAAGTGAGAAATGACTTAGCAGCACACAAATTTTATGAAGGTAAAATTTTCCATTTGTACAGTATGCATTTTAGTTCCCTTGGACTTTCTTATTACAGCCCCCCCCCATTTGCTTAAGTACATGTATCATAATCAGCCAAGTGAGCCAGTGCATCAGGCATCTGATTAATTTCATGCCAAATACAACTTCTAAGCTGCCACAAGACTCTTTGTTATCTCGAAGTAGAGTCATGGCAACTGGACATCTTTCTTGTTAGGTTGAAACGTTTCACTACTCATTCAAGTAGCTTCTTCAGTCTGAAGAGAGTTGGTAGGAGATCCATGATATATCCTTCACATTGGTTTCATTTCCCCTTTGTCTCCTTAAAAGGACAAAGGACAGGGGGTGAGGGATAATACAACTTCTGCAGTCCTTCTCCAGCCATTGTCATGGGTTGTGTGTCCCTAATCCTTCTGGGAATGGATGAAAGGGCAGCATGATAAATAGGAGACAGATTGTATCTAAGGCCTCCACCTCTGTTGAGTGAGGGATTTTCTATTTGCACATGTACGGCCTCTCTGACCCCTCTCTCAAACCACCTGTCTTCTGGGTCTAACATGAGTACATCTTGGTCATCAAATGAGTGTCCTTTGTCCTTCAAATGAAGGACCAGTCCTGATTGTAGTCCTGAGCTGTTGCCCCTCTTTTGCTGGGCCATTCTCCTGTTTAGTGGCTGTTTGGTTTTTCCAATGTAGAGCTCCGAACACTCCTCTTTGCATTGGACTGCCTACACTGTATTGCTCCTGTTGTGTTTTGGTGTCCGGTCTTTTGGGAGGATGAGTTCCTGCCTTAGTATGTTTGTGGGTTTGAAATGCATGGGTATGTGGTATTTACCAAAAATCCGTTTGAGCTTTTCGGACACACCCACGATGTAAGGAATTACCAGGTCATCAAAGCACAACAGCATCTATACAATTTGGTGTTCGGACAGACTGCCTATTTTTTAAAACCAACAAATATAATTGAATTTTTATGAGCAAAAAGATCCACCAAGATTTTATTTTCCCACCTTCTGCCACTGGGGTTTGCATAGTAGCCAGTTCTGGCTGAATCATTCCCTCTGAATCATCAATACTACAATGGCTCTCAAAAATGGCCATTCTATCTGAAACACAAATCAGGTCTGATTCCCTTTGGAATCATCTTTGAGTATGTGTGTGTCTGTCTGTTCCTCCCTCCCTCCCTATTTCTATTTTCTTCTTAATAGAAGACTGTGAGAGTTAATTACATGCATCATTTCAAGGGACATTGTTTCAACAGAGATTTCACCACAGTTCCTGGGTGACACTCAAGTTTCAAATTCTCAATGAATTTTGAAATAAAAACCCATTAATGAATTTAAACTTGACTAGAAAGGCCATCTTTACAAATGCTGTGATATTTTTGAAAAATAGAAACTGAGATACTGGGCTGGCAAGGGCACATAAAAATGTAATAGTGATATTTTCTGTATGGCTCAACAAATTACGTGCCATCAAGTCAATTATGGTGACCCTTTTCAGATGTTCCAGGTAGAGCATACTCAGAGTTGGTTTACCATTCCCTTCTTTTGGAGGAATCCTGGGATTGTGTAGCTTGCCCAAGGCCATACAAGCTGGCTCTACTCACAGGAAGCATAGTGAGGAATCAAACTCCCAACCTTTGGCTCTGCAGCCAGATACCTAAACCACTGAACTATCCAGCCAGCTCATAAATGAGCAGAAAGCAAACACACACACATACAAAGACACAAACCCTTCCTGGCATTTAAATCTGTTAAACTTTCAAATCTCGTGTTTTGATTCTGAGCATTTTGGCATCACACTAAGTTCTATCAGTCAAAGGACACAGTGGCCAAGAGCTGGCTTTCCAGTTTTCCTAGTTTCCTAATGTCGCAAGTACTGCAACAACATGGTCAGCACCAACATCCCAGGCAGATAGCACATTTTAAACCAATTGTGTGCAAATTGTCTCAGTGCTGTACACTCACCAGCGAGGAAGCCTAGCAGTTGCATTCAGGATTATGAGATCCTTTTCTACAGCAGCCTTTGGAGCTAAAAAATGGTTTTCCGTCGTTTTACGAAAATGTTAAGCAAAGCATTTTGCACCGTAGTGACTCTTTACAATAGGCATAGACACAGATTCTCCTATGCCTTGCCCCTGTAACAACCACAAAGCTTCCAAGGGACAATAAAATGAAAGAAGCTGCCCTCTCCTACTTTGAAGTGGGAAATGTTAGATCGAGCCCTATGCCCGCAGCAGGACTGAAGGAAAGCCAGCTTTCTCACCCCATAGGTTGGGCTCTTAGAAAAATGATCAAATAATTGTACGTGAACGCGTCAGAAAGGGCATTAGGACCCAGAAGATCTCTCTCTCTCTCTCTCTCTGTCTCTCTCTCTCTCTCTTTTTCTCTGTCTGCAGGACTGAGCACTGAGACAAGAGCTAAAACAAACAGCTGTGACTGTGCGAGCCAGCCAAACCGAAAGGAGGAGGAGGAGGAGAGGGAGACTCCTATCACCACTCCCCCATCGGTCTCGCTCTTTCTCTCTCGGATAACAACAGCTCATCTCCCCAAGAAATCTCTCCTTCGGTTCACCCAGGGCTCCCAGGCGCCACTGGGGCTCTCAGGATGAGAAGGATCCGGGCGAATGCCATCGCCATCCTGACCGTCGCCTGGATCCTGGGCACTTTCTATTACTTGTGGCAGGACAACAAACCCCATTCGGCAGCATCCAGCAAATCTCCGAGCAGCAGCAGTAGCAGTAGCAGCAGCAGTAACGGCGGCGGCAGCAACAACAACAGGAACGGGCAGAAATCAACCGGGAAACTCGAGAGCCACAAAGAGGAGAGGACCTTTCCCCTCGTTGTAAGTGGGCGCGTGACACGGCCCCCCCCGTTGCCTGGCGCTGAGGATGTCTGTCTATCCATCCATCCATCCCTCCCTCCGTCCCACCATCCATCCATTCTGGGCCGGGGAAAGGGTTCCTTAGGGACGCCTCGGTGCCGGTCGCCCGTCGGGGTTTCTTGGGCCGCCGCTTTTACCGCAGAGCGCGCGCGAGATGCTTGCGGGAGTCGGGAGCGTCTGTCCCGTTCTGCGAAGGGAGCCCGGCAGCCGGGGCGGCCGGATGGGTGGGGAGGGAGAGGAGCAGCAGCAGCACCAGCAGCAGCAGCAGCAGCACCGGGGAAGCGCGAGCCAATTAAAAACGAAAGCTCAGTGGAATCTCAAATACAGAGTAGTAAAAAACACACCACATACTTGTGTGTCTCTGTGTGTGTGTGTGTGTGGGGGGAAGCGGCGAAGTGGCCGCGGTGGGGAAGGCGGGCGAAGCTCCGGTGGAAAGTCCGAGTCCTGCGACTGTTGTCCGCTGAGGCGCTCCGGGTCGGCTTCTCCTCTGCCCGCGAACGGAGTTTCCAGTCAGGAATGGGGCGGGCGGGCTAGGGAGGAAGGAAACCTTTTAAGACGCGGGTTAGCAGTAAGGCCGAAAGAGACGCCTTGCGGGGGGGGGGCGGCCGGGGGGGGGCTGTCACTTGGGTTTGGACCGAACCAGAAGATCGTTTTATCTGGGAAAGATTGGGTGGAAATGACGCCGGTGTTTCGGGTGGCAAGCGTGGTGCCCCTGAGGGCTTTGGCCTCGGGGTCTTCCTTCTTTTGTGTGCCTGCGCCCTTCTGTGACTTGGCTGCACGGAAAGGCCTCAGACAGGTAGTTGACGGGTCACCAGAGCTGAAAAATTCAACTGTGAACGTTGTTTTGTCAGCTGAAGTGGGTTTTCCGTTGCCAGAGTCCCTTAAGGTCCTGGATCTGCCCGCGGCAGCTGGGAGGCGTCCTGCACACTGTTAGATTTGAGCCGCATCTAAATTCATGGAATTACAGATGAGGTTCTCTTTGGTCTTGTTGAATGAAGGATTGGGATCCAGAGTGAAAAGTGAGTTCCCAACGTCGGTCCTAAAATGAGCTTGAAAGAGATTGTAAGGAGCTTAGCAAAATAAAAAAAATAGAAATAGCGTCAAGCAAGTGGTTTGCACTGCTCCTTTCCCACTTTTGTACTGTCATGGGAATTAAAGATTTCAATGGCCATTCCATGAGGGAAGTCCACATAAATAATTCTGGGGGTAATGGTGCAAAGTCTTTTAATTATACCTATGGACTCTTGATCTGATTGTAGTTTTTACATGCATACCTGTGTAAAGAAATACCAAGGTTAGTTTTTTGGAGGGGAGGGCCCTCCTTTTGCCACCACCCTCCTTGGGCACCCATGCAGCCTCCAGAATCTCTCAAGTTGTACAGAGGTCACTGTGAGATGAGTGAGTTACAGTTGTTTTCTCCACCTCTTGGGAGCAGAGCAGGCCGTGCAGCTGTATAGTAAGAATATAAGCTTTGGTTTTAGAAAGAGGAAACAAGGCTGCAGAAAACATATGCCTGAGCACCTAGAAAGGAGCTGGGTCAGTAGGTGGGTAGACTGGCTAAGAGGTGGAACACAGCTTTATGTGTAATACTGTATATGATGAGGCCCTCCAAATGATGCAAAGTATGTTAACAGTTTAGGCATGAGTGCTGCCTGTCACAATGCCCCCCCCAAAAGTTACGCAAACCAACACTCAGCTTAATCACATTCAGGACATAGAACCCCTGCTTCTCTGGGAGTTAAAACGAAAATGAGATTCTTGGTTACCTCTGTGGGAAGCACAAGGATGGAGATTTTTTTGCATCCTCTCTGTAAAAAGTCTGTGCATATTTTCAAACTAGCTCAAAGCTCCCTGATTCTCTGTTGTGTAGGGTACTGCATCAACAATATCCTTGATAAAGAGCTGTACTTTGCTCCTAGTGACCCATCCATAACCCTGTTGCAGTGAAAGTGTTTCACTCTTGTGTGACGGGGAAAATCATTGAAGTCTTTAATCTTTGCTAGATGAAGGCTTCCTTCTTCTTGAAGTAAAAAGCGGCCTCTTCTTCAGGCTGCAAGATAGCTGAAGATAAAAGTGATGTATTTTAATAAAACTAACAGAACATAATTGTGAATGACCTGGATAAAAGCACCTTAGAAATTATGGTATGTGTCATTTTCCCCCCTATGTAACAATTTATTATTTGGATGTAGAGATGGAATAGAAACAGAACGGAACAGGTTGTATATCTCAAAAGCAAAAATCCTAGGTGACAGGAGTCTTGGGCCAAAGTCTTATTAGTGAGCTGCACTATGCTGTTGTGTTTTCCTCAGTTTTTCTCATCTGTAGAATGGGTTTGATAAGGTATATATGCCAAATGTGCCATTCACTAATGTATTACTGAGAGCTAAGATGGACTGCTGAGGGCTGAGGCGATGCAGATCAGGAGCTGATTTAGTACACATATTTCCATAGGACAAAAATATGGCAAACTGTGATGTATTCTCTGATCTACTTTTCTGTAGTGTTTTGGGGAAAGCACATATACCTGTCTGTACTCTCTAGGCTTTTCATTCAAAATCAAGGAAGTAAAATATATTTTATTGCAGAGGAATTGTTATATTTCATTCTGATAGCTGCATATTGCTTTGAAGTTTTTGGATGAAACGTACCGTGGGTTGCTATGATGTTGATATTAATACGCAGAGACCATAGAAACTTGGGGATGTTCATGTTCAAGCTGGCATTATTTTAACTTGTTCTTGCAAAGCAGAACAGAATTGAATGATATTGCAGAGGTAGCAGGGTTATTGTTATTACTATTTTAATGGGAAGAGCTAAATCTAAGTTGCATTAATTCTCCCAACCCACTGAAACAGAACCGTCTCTGCCTTCCTCCTTCATACCATTCCCTTCATTTAACCGGGTTGATGACATTTGCTGTATCAGAGCCATAAGATCAGAGGATTGCCTGTTCCACATTCCTGCCTGATGGAGTAAAAGAGATGATGATGATGATGATGATGATGATGATGATGATGATGATGATGATGATGATGATGATGAGAGTGAGTGGGAAGAATGCAGCAACATGTCATCTCCTTCTCAGGCTTGGTGAGACATGAGCAGCACTTATTTGATTTAATGAAGCAAGGTAGCGATACAGGATTTTTAATTATTTTTTTTGCCGGCTAGCTTTTTTGCCTCCAAGTACATACATGACATAGTTTCTTGCTACAACGTTGTCTACAGCTGTAAGCATCAAGCCAATAAAAAGCCATATTCCTGCTGCTGTGACCTCAAGCGGTTGAGCTTCTATTGATCTGGAAATGTAGTGAATGGGTAATGGCACTGTACTGGGATGTAATGTGAATAACAAACAGTTCCCTTGGTAGCAGTGTCACCAGATTGCTTGATCTGGGGGGGAAATGGATCAGCTGGATTGCAGATCTTAAAGCTGAGGAAGGGGGAGCAGGGCAGCCTACAGTAGCTGTCTGCTGAGTGGTGAAAATAGCCAAGGGAGAGGGGGGGGGTGGCTTTGTCTTTTGCCTTGCTGAGGTGGGCAGCTCTGTTATACTCATGTTTCAAGGGGTGGCACTTTGCTGAGACTTCTAGAACAGAGCTTCTCGGATAATGATACCAGCCCATGTCTTTCTACTAATACAATGTGCTATTTCCAACAAGCCCACTTGCTACAGATTGTCCATCTGTAACCTTTTGATCACCTTGCCAACAAAAGTCCGAATAGTCAAAGCTATGGTTTTTCCTGTAGTGTTGTATGGAAGTGAGAGCTGGACCATAAAGAAAGCTGACCGCTGAAGAATTGATGCCTTTGAATTGTGGTGCTGGAGGAGACTCTTGAGAGTTCCCTGGTCTGCAAAGAGAACAAACCTATCAATTCTAAAGAAAATCAACCCTGAGCGCTCATTGGAAGGACAGATCCTGAAGTTGAGGCTCCAGTACTTTGGCCATCTCATGAGAAGAGAAGACTCCTTGGAAAAGACTTTGATGTTGGGAAAGTGTGAAGGCAAGAGGAGAAGGGGACGACCGAGGATGAGATGGTTGGACAGTGTCATCGAAGCAACCAACATGAATTTGACACAACTCCGGGAGGCGGTGGAAGATAGGAGGGCCTGGCGTGCTCTGGTCCATGGGGTCACGAAGAGTCGGACACGACTAAACGACTGAACACACACAACTGTGGATACTGAATGTGTCTGCTAATCCCTGTTCCTCCTGTATACCATCTTACTGTACCTTCATGAAAACATAGACTTCTTCTTTCTGTCATGGTGGGTTCAGGTTCTTTGGTAGAGTGACTGGTGGGAGGGAGCCTGTAGCTCTTTACATAGCCTTCCTCTGTGTCAGGCTTGTTAGATCACAATTCCTACAATTCTATACAGCTGGGGGTACTCCAAGCTGGGAAATACCACATTAGGTATTTTGTGTATGTGTGTGGTTTTTTTTTTCTATTCCAATTTACCTCAGTCTGACTCAAACTAGATGTAATACATTTTACCATGTTTCCCACCCAAAGGGAGGTTATCACAAGTGGAAAAAAATGGAGAAAGATAAGGGCAGTGTGCCCCTTCTGCTGGATCTCTCAGAGACTTTTGATCCATTAACCATGGTATCCTTCTGGGCCAGCTCTATGGGATGGGATTTGGAGCCATTGTTTTATGGTGCCTCTGGTCCTTCCTGGAGGGAAGAACCCAGAGGGTGGTGTTAGGGGACTCCTGTTCAACGCCCTGGCTATTGGCCTGTGGTGTTCCTCGGGGTTTTGTTTTGTCCTCTATGCTTTTTAACATCTACCAGATGATGCTGGGAGGGGTCCCCCAGATGTTAGGGTTCAGTGTCACAAGTATGCAGATGACACCCAACTCTGTCTCTCCTTTCCATCAAAATCCAAGGAAGCTGTTTCAGTTCTAGATCTGTGTCTGGTGTCAGCAATGTACTGGGGGAGGGCAGACAAACTGAGATCT